CTTTTTCCCTGTGCCATTCCACATTATTACAAATAACTTCATTTCTGGACATTTATGGTTTGATTTCTTTGTGTTGCAAACTTTGTTTGCACCTCCAGTAATATATTTACTGAGAAAAATGATGACGTGTTCAATATTTATTTTACCCGCTGTATCATACAAGGTAAGGGTTAAGTTCCATGATTAGATTTAGGTGTTTAARTTAATAAAACTTAAGGGTTAGAAAATCAGGGTTGCCACCATCYAATTTGGACATTTCCCTACACTAATGAACAACCTTGTAAATTCCAATGGCTAATTATGGTTTATAATCCCTCTCTCTGCCATGCCAGAAGGTGCTGGTGGCCTGGTGAGCTAAAACGGTCCATTTATCGGAATTGGTGGAGGAACGGACCCAGGGCGCAGGCAGGTTCAAAAAAAAAGGAACAAAAAGATTTATTAAAAACAGAAAATGCTGTTGAGGCAGCTCAAAAATCACTTACAGGTTCTCAAAATCACAGGCATGAGGGAGACAAAGCTCAGGAACAAAACTCAACACAACAATGATCCGACAATAAGACTGAGACAGGACAGGGTTTTAATACACAGAAAACTAATGACTGAACAGAAAACACCTGAGAAGAAACACAAGGGTGACAATCAGACTAACAAGGAGCAGCTGGGCAGAGACACACTGGGGAACATAGAAAACACTAGGAAAACCAAGGAAAATGAATACAGACCATGACAGTACCCCCATCTTAACGACGGCTCCCGACGTCGAAAAGAGAGAGGCACAGGACATGAGGAACACAAACACGAGACAGGGGAACTTGGGACAAAAAACACAGAAGTCCAGGGGGATGTCCAGAAAACTGTCCAGAGAGTGCCCCTGCCACCGCACGAGGCCCAGCAGGAAGCGTAGTAATTACAACACCACAGGAGGGGGCGGGCGCAGACGAGGGGCCAAAGGAGGAGGCGGGAGCAGACGTGGAGCCAAGGGAGGAGGCRGGAGCAGACGTGGAGCCAAGGGAGGAGGCGGGAGCAGATGAGGAGCCGTTGGAGGTTGGCAGAGCAGGAGCCTTGGCGATGGCGAACACAGGCGACAGAGGGGACAAAAAGGCGATGGCAGCTGACCCAGGTGACATGGAGGCGACGGCATCCGACCCAGGCGACATGGAGGCGACGGCAGCCGACCCAGGCGACATGGAGGCGACGGCAGCCAACCCAGGCGACATGGAGGCGATGGCAGCCAACCCAGGCAACATGGAGGCGACGGGCAATGATCCAGGCGACATGGAGGCGACGGGCAATGATCCAGGTGACATGGAGGCGACGGCAGCCGACCCAGGCAACATGGAGGCGACGGCAGCCGACCCAGGCAACATGGAGGCGATGGGCGATGATCCAGGC